GGGGGGGAGAAAGGGAAGCCAGTAGAGGTTACAAAGTTCATTTTCTTAGTTTTACTTGCAAAATTTCTGTGTTCAGAAACTTATTAGAAAGAGATATATTTTAATCAATCTATTTCCCACTACTCATACAAAGATGAAAAAAGTAGTGAAATTACTTTCCTCCTCATTTACGACATACCAGTTTTACTTCTGTGTATATTTTCTTTACAAGAACAAGACTTGGAAGTTAACATCTTTATTTAAAAGAAAAAAAAAAAACCCAACAAAAAATTAAGAGTATGCACTACTTGGGTCTTCACTTTAATACTTAAATATTCACTGCAAAAGAAAACCTTTTCTGGTTTTATGTTAAATATTTTGCACACACCAAATACAACAGGGCAAAAGAGCATCATCTTGTCCTCCATTTTGCATAGATACTCAAAGGGTTATGTAAGGTCTTTCAGGAAAAGAGACAAGTAACTTTGCAAAAATACCAATCTACAGATATCTCAGTCGACTATTAATCATATTCAATTCTCTTTACTATCCCTTTATTACATTTGGGTTGATGTAGAAGTCTTATAACACGCAGAATTTACAAAGTAACCAGAAAAACATCAGAAATGAAACTCAACAGGCCTAGCCAAGGCTTCTCATTACATGGCTTCTCTCTATAAAGCTAAATGTATAGATGGATCCCTCTTGAAGCCCATAAATTCAAGATCAGTGTCAAAAAAATCATGTAAGTCAGTCCTGGATACACAAGAAAATACACAGTTGTGCACTTGTGCCAGTAGGAAGGGTGAGGTCTGGCAGCAGTCAGACATTGGGAGTCACTGGCTCTGCGCTGTAAGGTAAGCACAGCCCTTGAGCTCTGAGCTCCAAAATCTGCAGATCAGCCTCACTCAGATGCGAGGGGAAGCCACGTGCTTCTCAAGTAAAAAAAGCCTCATAAAGAAAGAAGAAAAAAAAAAAAAAGAAAAAATGGAGGAGCCCGGCTCTTGGTTGTGTGCTCGCTCCCTTAGTACAGGTGCAAAGTGCTCAAGTAATTTGGCTCTGCAAACTTTATAAAGGACTACAGATAAGATATATCCACTGAGACTAAAATCTTGAAGGAAAGTTAAATACCTAGGAGATTCGACAAAGGGCAGAGCACTGCATCATCATATTCAACCGCTGTCTGGCAGAATAGGAAGAATGACAACAGACAGCATCCTTCGAGGTGTCCTACACCTACAAAAGTGCAGTTAGCAGGCAGGTCTCTTTATAAACTCAATTTCCAAAGCATTCTTTAAAATTTGTCTTAGAAGAGATAGGGGATTAGATTCTTTGCATCCTTTATTAATTTTCAAGCATAGAAATCAATCTGAAATAATGTACACCACAAATAAGGACAACTCATTAAGACAGCATGCTTGGTCTATCACCTTCAGAAAGGCTGAAAATTTTCAGCTGTTTTTTTTCCATGCAAACTGAAATGATCTACAAATTCTGACAATCCCCTTCCCTACTTTGTTTTTAAAAGGAAAAAAGTGCATATTTGACACTTGAAATTCCCCATGGTACATAGTATTTCGTAACAGTTTCCCCTCTTCCCTCTGTCCCTACTGTGTTGGTGTGTTGGCACAACAGTAAGATAACAATCACCAGATTTAAGAAAAAAACAAACCAAAAAACCCCCAAAAAAACAAAACCAAAACACTCAAAGGTTTGGAGTAGCTTTGAAAAATAAATAAAGCTAGTCAGATATAGGGTTGTGTTTTTTTGTGGATAATTTATAACACAAATTCATAAATATGATCACATTCAATTTCCTAAAAATCTATACAAGTACACCACTTCCCTTGTAATGCGTGGATTTCAAGTAATTACACAAAGCTCCATTAGACAGCCTTTCACATACAAATTACACAAAATTACAGACAGATATGCAGTAACACATCGGGGATAATTTAATGCTTCTGACTACTTAATGGTCCAAAAATAATAAAAGTAATTCAAAAAAAGCTAGTTTTCAGTTTAATTGTTGGGGTGGAATGTACTGTGGGTGGTGGTTGCCTAGCAGCTGCTTTTGCTTTGCTGGCCTGACTTGCTCGGACTGCAGTTTCTAGACGTGTTTTTAATTCAGGAGCAGCTCCCATGACTGTCTTGAAAGCATGTGGGTAAAGTGGACCAATGTGCATTAGATTCTGAAGTGCAAATTCATGAAGATCCTTAGATGCTGTAGATGCAGAAGCAAAGGCATTTTCATTCAGTAAATAAGAGATCAGAGTGGGAACCAGAAGGGCAAGCAACTGGACTCCTAAAAGGAAAAGAAAAAAAAAGTGTAACTATATCATTAAAGAAAACAAAAAATTAATTTTATCAGTTACTAGACTGATAAGGGTAATTTTGTTTTCAGAATTGAAAATAAGCACTGTAATTAAAAAATGATCAAATAAAAGAAAACAAACAAAAAAAACCAACCCTAAAACTTAGATGGTTTCCTGTCCTTTGGACACTCAAATCTTTCTTACCAGGACTGTGCTTCAGAATTCTATTATTATTCATCATAGTTGCTGCATTGTTCCTGACACTTCTTTAGAGATACCTTTGCGCCATCTGATTGCAGATGGTTGATAAGAGATTGCAAGATGTAGAGTGCCTATCATATTAAAGGATTTCAAAACACTCTTCAGGCAGACAGAAACATTATTCAATTGAATCTGAATATCAGCCTCCCCAGCGAGCATAAGAGAACTGCTATTAGCATGCAAGTGTTCATGGAAAAGTATCTGCTACATTACTCCATTCTGGAAGATTCCAATACAGAAAATAGCACCACAGCTGTAGTCAGCTAGCATGACCTAATGAGGCTGACCAGTAAAATTCAATTTCTTGGGCTTTTTAGATAAATCTTTTTGAGCTGGTAGAAGCAATGTGATAAAAGTGACGAGTCCACTAAAACAAATAAAAGTTGACAGAGAGAAAAAGTAAATTTAAATGGTGTAAATTAGTCATTTCCAAACAGAAGAAAACATCACTCACTACTGCAAGTTCATGTTTAGGACCTTTTTCCTGCATTCACCAGAAATGCAAAGGCTACAGCACATGATACTATATGTGCTGTACAAGTCCACGTATACAAAAGTTCTAGTACTGGAATTACAAATGCACATTGCATACACAAGCCCTATTTGTGACTATGCCATCAAGCTCCTAACAGCAAGATTTCCAACGTTCAATAGTCCATTTCAGCATTACATATTTTTCTAGAAAACCGAGATACTTACTATTCTGCTCTTCACCAAGGGCTACCAGCGTTTCAAGGACTTTAATTCCTTCCTGGACTGCTAACAGCTCCAGGTTGTTGTTCGGGCGGCTTCTTTCCACAGCTTTCAATTTCTCAACCATGATAGGAGCCAATGAATGAATATATGGAGTTGACAGGGCACGATTGGTGTGTTGAAACACAGAAAGCAGAAGCTGATAACACTTGGCTTGAACCTAATCAAATCAAGATAAATACATTGTCCTGAAAGTTATTTCTTAACTTGGAATTCTTATAAACTCTGTTATCTACCTATGCAAGATACACGTGATACCAAAAAAAAAAAAATACAACTAAAGTAGAAGGAAACATCCTGAATACAAGTAAAGCAGCAACACAGGCATCTGCTAAAATACTATTAGCCCAGTTTTCAATAAAAGGCAGGCCAGTTAGAAAGAACATGCAGGTACTAAATAGCAGTTAGAATATGAACTCGGAGACAATAAGGGAATAGTTAATGTCATACAAGTCAGTCACACAGGCCCACAGAGAACTACATCTTTAAGTCTCAGAACCACCAGCACTAATAGAAGATATATCTGCAAAATCATGAAATACTATTCCAAACTCAGAAGGGTAAAACACCCATAAAATGACTCAGCTGAAAGTGATCTTACTATTTTGAGTATTACTCTAACACTGTGACATCACAATAAGTGATCTTATTACACTAACATTACTCTAAGGCCGTAGCCATTAGTGGCAGGCTTATCCATCCTTCTAATTCTTCATCTTGTGCTGATAGTAGCATAAAAGTATACGTGTAGCCATACTGTAAGCCACACCACAGAACCCTCTCCTTGTCTTCCTTCTATTCTTTTTTCTCCTCATCTTTCTGTTCTCTGGAAAGCGCGGATTATAAAGTCAACGTCTGGGAAAATGACTCAATGATGATCTTGTTTAGATGAACTTACAAATGTATTTTATTTAGGTGTGCAAAGATCTCCCCCACAAATCCCACAAAAAGAACCCAGAACTTTCGAAAATGGAAAGCCCCACAACAAATATGAGGATAAAACACTGCACATGCTTTCAAACTGCACTGGAGTCCCAGTAACTGGAGTTACTGCGCACATGCTGAACAGAAACATTCCAGAGGAATTATTAGTGAATACAATGATCTGTGAGGAGATCTGGGGATGACTGGAAACATAAATCTATAAATAAAAATATTGAATAAAAATGACAGCTGATAAAAACTAATGGCAAGAAAACAGAAGTTATGCAACTCAGGTTACTGTTAATTCATTAGTATATGGCAGCAAGTTTTCTATGCAATTTGATTTTATGGCCTGAAGTAGTAACACTTCTTCTAATACCATTTGTATACCAACAGAGCTCCACAGAAGAACATTTTCTTTTAATGCCTTGCTCAGTATCATCTTTGACCTGTTTCAAAAAATCATGATTCCTCTTTCTCTCTCCTCGTCATATCACTCCATACGTTTCCTTTCCCTTTCTGTCTACATTCTTTAAGCTTTACTCCTTATTAGATGCTACAATTATTAGCCTTTGAAATAAGGAATAAAAGCCTCCCTTCTTACATGCATGCATAATTCAAATAAAAGTTTTACAACTGCACCTGATGGCAAAAATTCATCCAACCTTCTTTTATCCCATCTATATAATATAAAACTTTGGCACTCACAGAAGTCTACAAAGGCTTCTGTGAGGTAAATTCAGGGCCTCTTCAAAATGTGTAAGGCACGATCTCATGTAAAACTTATCCATCAGCACTGAGACACAAGGGTCCCTCAACCAAGTTTCCTTGTGGGAGAAAATGAAGTTGAGCTCACCAGCCTTCTGGTTATTACCATACATGATACCTGACTTTTCAGACTTTTGCAGGTGGTAATAGTTTAAAAAAAAAAAATATTCCTGCATTTCTTATGAGGCAGCGGTATTTCTTTAGAAGAGTTTTTCCCATAATCAGTTCAACTGTTTTAGTACAAACAGTCTAATGCTTTTATTACAAACAGGTGTCTAGTTACTGACTGCAACGAGTGGTTTATATTTAAAAAAAACTAGAACACACCCCCCAAGTATTACAGGGTGTGTGTTTTGCACATCAGCAAAGAGAGGACAAAATCTGGCTGCTGCCAAAGCACTCTCTGTGATTTACAAAAAAGTGGGAAATTTCAGCTCATTGACAGCTTTCCAGCAGGGTGGTGGGCAAAAATGTACTCCTCCCACTGTTCATGCATTTATACAGAGCTGAGAGTATGGCATAAAAAGCTTCTGCTTAATACAACTGACATTTCCATGTACACACTAAAATTTTAAGTCGCTTTTCACCCCAAGTCAGGCTTTGGAACCAGCCGAGTTTCATGCTCACGCTGGGGAACAGCAGCCCTGCTGCAAAAAAGAACGATCAGTCTAAACAGGATTTTACCCGCCTCACAGTGACTCTAAACACATCAGCATTTTCTGTGTGTTTTTCTTCTCAGGATCTCTACAGCACTCACTTGTGGAAACACTATGGATTTTTCTCTTTAGCTCCTACTTGCAGATTTGTATACCCAACTCAAACGAATTGATGTGTACATGGCTGAAAGAGTTAAGCTTAATTGTACAGTGCATTAGCCTACTTGAACAACATCACTCTACAGCTACTTAGTTTCCCTCTTTAGTGAGAAAATAATTTAGAAGGTAATTCATAAAGACAAACCAAAGGGCAGAAGTGAAATCAGGAGATAGATGATTCACAATCTGTAGATGCTCTGATGATGACCACAAAATTACATTTTTGCATTCAAACTGAGTTTTTTTATGAACATGTAAAATAAGCACAGGGTTTGCACAAACAAACATAATATTCATCAGAAATATGGGCTGTAATTTTATCTACAGAAAAAGTGGTTTAGTTTGTATTATAAGAGATCAGCATTAATGTAGAAATGTCACCACTCTGGTAACCAACCTTTTAGTTTGCTAAAATTTCATGTATCAAAGATCTTCTTCCTTTTGAAAAGCTGCAAGTCAAGAACCTGGCACAAGGCCATGAACACACATTCTCTAGAAGCACTTAGTTGGTCGTTTTGCTCACTAAAGAGTTTCTATGATGCACTGTTGAAAATTCTACTTATTTTGACAAGTAGTATGTCTCTGAAGTAAAGGCATCACAAAGCATTCAGGAAACATGGTAAATTTATCACAATTAATTTTTCTCAAGTATATATAATTCACATTCCTATAACATGATCTTACCCAAGGATCACGGGAATTTAATGCACTTTTAAATCTGTTCATACATCCATTCTGTAAACACTGCACTCCAATTATTTCAGTGCTTGCTGACCAAAGGAAGAGAGCGATAGCTGTAAGCATGCTTACTTCATCAAGAACAGGCTTAGAAGCTTCTGAAAAAGAAACACACTGTTAGCTTACTCCCAAAAGGGTTTAGAATTATTTAAAAGCCAGTGAACACAGAAACTCACAAAAAGGAAATAAATGTATTTAAATATATTTGCAACTGCATACAAATAAGCATCTGCTCATTACAGAATCACTTTATTATTATTGACAAAAAGCTGAGCGACTCCTAATAGTTGTTCTAATAAATTTAAACTTTCTGAAACTTGAATATCAAGGAAAAAACATCACCCACATTTTCTCTAACCAAGTCATATTTTTTCTGTTTTCAATATGTAAACAAGAGAGAAAATGTCTGATTTAGATCCTTTACCTGTTTTTATTCTTTTCAGCTAATACAGCACAGTAAGAAACTGATACCCAGCATGGCAACAATTTCTACTTAACATGAGGTTTCACATAAGGGATTAGCTGACCTGACAGTCAGCTGTCACCAGTAAGAAGGACAGTCCTATTTTAACCCTTTCCTGCTTTTCAAACAGTCTGTATTTGCCATTGTAATCATTCCTTGCACAAGCTCTGTCTTCACCCATCTCATTCATGAATTTACATCAACCGGAAGAAAAATATAT